CCCATCAGTTCTGAAGAGAAAAATACACCAGGAAAGCTTCTTGTCTCAGCCTTGCCTCCCCCTGCCTATCCCCATTGCTGTTCGACAGAACAAATTCAAACCCTCAAGTATCTTCTGCATGCCTTAATTAAGAAACTGGGATAATGAGCTATTTTATTAGAGTTCTTTGTGCTGTCATGCAATGAAGGATTAGCCTCTCCTGACTCATCCTCAAGATAACAGCTAATCCTGATGGCTCCCTAAACTCAACGGGCTGCGCAGATCCCGATTTCTAACCAAACCACTGCACTTCAAGATGACAATAACAGGGGAAAAAAGCAACACATCTATTTGCTGGATTCATGGTTGAAGCTTCTTCAGAGTCTGCACACCACCATCAAAGTCCCCATTTCAGCAACCCTCAGCTTAGGCATTAGATCAAGTCATCCAGCTAACTAGGGCCAGATTAACTGTGTGCTCACAAAAACTAGGTCAGTCCCCAACAGTCTCTGCAGCCTGGAAATGTACAGATGTGTAAGCACAAATTACAGAGATCTCCTCTTTTAAATGATGGCCAGCAGAAAGCTGGCGAGATCCAAACTCAAGTGACTTGTATACACTTTGAGCTATATACAAAGTGGTTCTTGATTTCTCAACAAACAAAAAATCTTTACCAACTGGAGTTCAGAAGTTCAGGAATGACTTAGTGATGTCAAGTCAGTTTTCCCTCTTTGAAATATTTGGTTCTCGAGTATTTAATTATTTTCTGAAATGAAAGAGCTAGGTCAGGACTTCGGTGCAGATCTGAGACCTCTGTCTCCTATTCCAAGCCCTCCTAACCCACACCTTGGTCTCACAAACCCAAACTGCAGCCTTTGCTCTCTCCTTTGACCTCTCTGCCCTCCTCCTCAGCAAACACTGCTACTAAAATTAGACCACAGTGGTCATACCACCCTGCCTCCCCACTGTTGTCACAGACTCCCTGTCACATCAGTCATTTTAGTCTCACACTGAGCTCCAAGCACCGCCTTCCCAATGCTCTCCTCTGGTCTTACCTGTTTGTCCTCTGACAAAATACCATTCCTTGTTAACCTTCGTGAAGCTCAATCTCCATCCATCCATCCCCAGAACGGATGGCCACCTGCTTTCAACTAACTCCGAAGCCAGACAGACATCTCTGAAGTGTCTCAAAGACAAAATTTAGTGCTTAAGAAAAGCTGATTTATAAACACCCACCACAAAACACTGCACATGCCTGTATCCTCCCTCTCACACACGCACACAATTTGTATTGTAGGTTTCTTGAAGGAAGAGATGCAACAGGCTACAGCCACACAACACTAAGCTACGGAGCGATGGCTTCGTAATTCCGATGCGTTTAAAGGAAACATTAGACTCAAAATGAAAACTGAGATGAACAACACGTTGGGATCATTTAAATCACAAATGAGACAGCTTGTCCTCAAAGCTGAAACCCGTTCTCGGTAGCCACGACCACCCATGGGACCACGTGGCAGTGCAGGAGAAACAAAACCAGCACATCTCTGTGAGCCACGCAAGACGAACTGGAACTACTGGCAGGAGGAAACAAGAGAAGGAAGGAGACTTAAATACGTAAACTTTTTCTGAGAAAAACACCCACCAGCGTGCCAGAAGTCCGAAATACCAATATTCACTAGAATTGCAGAATCACTTCCTAGCAAGCTCAGTACAAGCCTTTTGCCCTCTTCAAAAGGAAGGACTGCTCTCTACAACGCTCCATAAACTGCCAAGCTCCCATCTGTGAGCTTCAGAGACTCCACAGCTCCATTCTTTTCGGTTTTTTTTTTCTTCCAGTTTGCTGCATAAAAATCCGCAGCTTTGGCTGCTCCACCCTATAGAGGGCTGAGTTTTACAGCTATTTGCCAAACAGCAGTAACAGTCTCGGTTTTGTTTTTACAGTGATGATAATCCTTGCCACAAAGAGCTTTACATTTTTAAGAGGCATGTCTCATCTCTGACTCACTCGACCTGTCTCAAGCAGGGCAACAGCTACGAGCCTGGTGGTCACAGTGGCCTTAAAATCCATCACGGGCTGCAAACTGCTCCTGAGGCAGCAGCCTGGGGGTGTGAGATGGAGCTCCCCAGAGGCCAGGGAGCTTCAGTTCTCCTCGAGCTTGCACATAGTGCTGCTGCCTCTCTTCTGGGGTGAGATGGAACAGGAAGTCCAAAGAATCGCGGTGTCAATTCTTTTACTGGATTTGCTGAAAAGCTCCTGATGGCAGGAAGAGCATGAACAAATCTTCACAAGTCTTGAAACGGGCAGTAACTGGTGCCACTAATGAAGTGGTCTAAGAGGCACCACAGAGAGCAGCAAAGTGACAGAAACACAGGAAGAGGGGAAAAAAAGGGTTTTGAGACAGACTGCTGCGAGCAGAAAAAAAACACAGCGCCAAGGCCTGGAGATGCATTTGGGCACAGCACCAAAGCCAGCGCCAGGGATGATGAGCAGCACAGTAAAGACATTGTGGGATCCTAAAATCAGAGAAAGGAGCAGTGACAGTCATGGAGATGAGTAAAATGACTCTGGGCATAGAGCCCACTGCAAGAATAGCACAGAAAAAAGAAAAACACCCGCACTGAGGTCCGGCAGCGCTCTCCACGTCCGAGGCACTGCAAATGAAACCCAAGAGCTGGGGGTGACTGCAAAGACCTGAGCTCCTCGTTTGTGCTGCCACTTGAGACTCTCCAGAATAGGAAGTGTGGGAAGCGAAGGAGAAGTTTGAGGTTTGGGTCTTCTGAAGCCAAAGCTGTTTGTTTGCTGAGCCTCACGCTCTTGCTGCTTCCCTTTTGGCAGGGATCATGAAGAATGTGGTGGCTGTGCCCCTGCAGACCAGGCACAGATAAACTTTTTGCTCCATCAGAAGCTCACTGAAATACAATGCTTCACAATTCCCTTACAGGCGCCTGTTACTTGATGTTCACGAACATACAAGACATGGAAAATGTCACTTTTACACCAAGCTTTCCTAACACAGCTGTTACTTCACACAGCTATTGCTTTATCTTATATAAAATATCAGGCACGTTTAATCTAGTTGACTGGGCAATGAGAGGACCAGGTCAAAAAAAAGGAAAAAATTACAGGTCTTTAAATTGAAAAGCCTCAAATAAATGTGAGTGGACCTACCCCTTGCAGAAGCAGGATGCTTCCATCACCAAAACTCTTCCCTCTCTCCGAAACAGCTGAACCTTAACATCTCACACTCATGGGTCACTTCTGAACATCTTACAGTTTATACACTTCACACAAATCAATTTTAAGTAATTCATGGCACTTGGGAGAATCCAGCACTACAGATAACTTAACAGAAGCTGATAAAACAAAACTGATTTTGAGAAGAGCCCAATCTGACTCCATCAGATACCATTCCCAGTGCAGCTGTGTGCTATCATTAGCCATTTCGAGCCCAAATTTGACCATATTGAATTCAGGACGTCTTTGCCAATTTCAGTAGGACCAAAATGCTGACCTTCAGGAAGTTATCACATGCCACATGGTACAGGCATTCACACCAGAAGGTATTTCAACTCAGAAAGTCTAGAGTAAAAATGTTATGCTGCTAAAAACTGTGGAAAAAGTTACTGACTCTTTACAAAAGGCTAACCACGATGCTGGCAATACACAAACTAGTTCCAGGCCTGTAAGCAGAGAATGTGGAGATCTACTGTTAGTCCAGAAAGTCTTTATGCACAGAAGATACAAATGAATTACTGCAGCTGGAAACCTCCTTCCCCTTCCTCAGAGGCTTTCCCGTCACTGAACTGTGAACTGAAAGGAAGCAACAGCCTTTGGGGGCAGAAATTCAGTGTCACAAGTTTAACCCAAGTCTTTGCCAGTGAAAGAGCAGGTCAGCAGCAGCATCTGTCGTCATCTGTGACCACAGCTCCCCTTGTCACGCGGGCAGGAGAATCCCGCTCTTTACCACATCTCATAAAAGAACAAAGTGACAGTTGCACATGACTCATAAATGTTTGTGTAAAAAGACAAACTGTTCACCCTCTCTTCTGCTCTCAACTTCTCCCTCATTTCTAAGAGAGGCTCACCAGCATTTTCCCTGGTACAAGAGGAGAAACTGCAGCTCAAGCCCAGCAGGTGTTTTCAATCAGACAGTCTGTAAACACCCAGGACTCACTTCAAAGGGCCCAGAACACCCAGGCAGGGGAAGCTCCTGTCGCCCCTGAGCAGTCACGAGCCCCCAGCATCCAGCAGGAACAGCAGCAGGAAACTCTGCCACAAGCAGGCTGGGGACTCTCTCTTCGCCCTCCCACCCCCAAAATGCCAAATCCACAGCCACATCAGTGTGGACAGACCCTGAGTTTCAGTGTAAGAGCAGTGGCTTGTTGCTGCTGACGTCAAGGAGCTGCTGAGCGGGCGTCTGCAGGATGGGGCTGCCAGTAAGTCCCCTGCACAGCAGCAGACTGGGGCTGCAGGCAGCTCAGCACGCAGGGTGACAGTGCCAGCCACCATGAGACATCTCTGCCATGGCTGTAGTCTGGGAAAAAGCTGTCACTGTCAGGGCAAACATCTGTCAGCCTTGCGCAAGTCACGCAGTAATTGTATCATCTATTTTCCACACTGACACCATAACATACCCAGCTAAAGAAGATAAAAGAGGCTTGGACAGTCAAGACTGCAAGGACCCGGGGCCATTTTGATTTAAGCTTATTCCCTTTCTGTCTAAATAAAAATTATGAATGATGAATGTTCCTCCCCTCACTCCAAGGTGCCTCATGTCAGGCTCCATTTCCCTCCTTACTGTTGCACTTCTGTGTTTGCGTAGGTCTCTCCCAGGGTGACATTTGTAGGAAACAAAGAGCGTAGAAACTACTGCTGGATGATCAAGCAGCAAAGGGCGGTGAGCTCTGGAGGAACTGCGGCACAGCCATACAACAGCCATCCCTTGCTGCCAGCCTCTCCCACCCTCTCCTCCACTGCCCCCAAAACACACACCTCATCCTCCGCGCTCCCTCATCCTTACCTCGTAGGACCATACACACTGCACTCCTGCGAACCTCCGTACGCATCTTCCCACCTCCACGTCCTCGTGGGTGGTGTACATCTCTCGCAGGCACTCGCCAATGTGGGGCACCATTCTCCGCAGGACTTCCCGGCTCATGATGACTCCTGGTCCCCCCATGCAGAAGTTCTCGCCTGGTTCCAATGCCAGCTTCCCCATCTCCTCCGTGGTGCCAAGGCCAGTCTGCCCAAGGAAGAGGGGCTCGCTGCTGTTCAAACTCCTGAGGAAGTTCTCCAGTTTGTCCCCTTTGATGTAAACGTCGTCATCAGCTCTCATAAACCATTCGTATTTGTCCAAGTAGTGGTCATGCATGTATTTCAGCATCATGAAAGATTTCTTCTGGGGTGGGTAAGAGTCATCTACACCTGGAAGCGGCACGATGGGGATGGGAATAGAGGTGTCCGAACCCTCGCTGGAGAAGAATTCAACCTTGCCAGGAATGGTTTTGGACCACGTTCTAGATTGAAAAAGACAATAAGGACTAATTAAGTATACAAAGCAAGGCAGGCAAAGAGTGCTACCAGAGACTGCTCAAAGGAACTGCACCTCATCTGCTTTACAAATTTTCTTTTTAAACACCTTGGAGGGTTATTTTCTTCCATGCAAACGAGGACATTCACATGGCACACGGAGCAACTGGTATAACATACAAGAAATTATGACAAGACCTGAACATAATTTTTGCAGCTGTATCTGATATAAAAATAATTCAATAGCAGCAGTTTACTAGAGGCAGCCAGGCTTCCTTAAGCACACTCAGTACTGGTCACAAGATACAGAGCAAAACCAAAGGCAGCCAAGATGGGCAAACAATTCACAGACAACTGGATTTAATGCCTCCAAAGCTTCCCTGCAAGTTACTCAGCATCATATCCACCTGTCAGTCCCCCTAAGCCCTCCAAAAGCTCAAATGTGCATTCAGAAGTACTGACTACCAAAGAGTAGAGATGCAAATTTCACATGAACTTGTGAGGAATCAGCATCCTGCAGAAAACCAACCAAACAGCAACCTCCCCAGACACTAGGTGGAGAAGCACACTCCAGACCAGACTTTAGTAGAGAGGAACATCACAGAAGAGGAGCCTTTTCTGTGCAAAGCAGCACAGCAACGACATCTGCTCCACACCTTCCGTGCTCCTCTCTGCAAAATCCAACCCATCTGCGTGGGCAAACTGGGTCACTGGTATTGCAGGAAGAGATGCAGAATGATTCCTCAAGGCAGACCGCAGAACACTTAACCTCCTCCAGGCAGGATTTTCAGTCATGTAACTGGTACAGCTTTGCCCTAAAAATTATTAATTTTAAGCTTTTAGTACCATTTTCTCAAATTCTAGCTGGGAAAATGCAGAATTCACGTATCCTTCACAGAAACTCACAGAAAAACTATTTTAATTGGTAAACCAACAGGTTTTGCCCCTTTTTGTATGGAAAGAGAACATTTTCTAATTATGTTTGGCAACTATGCTCAGAATACAAGCTATATTCAAAGCTGAATGTGAAAACACTCTCAAGGTAAAGGACACACTATTTCCTCAATGCATCACTGTCACTTTTACCGGATGCCTCTCAACACAGGCTTCTTGCCAAAGGCAGAGCAGATTTTGGGCAGTACAGACCATCTGAAATTTGAAATCTCCAGAATTAGCTACCAAAGTCTGAAATGTAAAAATATTTCAGAATTATCCCTTCAGTTCCACAGGGAAAGGCAATGATATTTTATTAGTACTAAACAAACAACTTTGGCACTTTAACAGCCACACACTAAGTCAGCTTCGTGTAATGAATATCACACAATTACTTTAAAAGCTTTGTCTTCTGGATTTCTTACTGCCATGGGTAGTGTTTCACAGGAAAAGTTTAGATCCCAGCTTCCCAGAAGAGCACAGAAACATGGAGTGGAAACACTCCTGGTGACTTCACAGCAGAGGTGACGAGGCCTTTAATCATCAGAGATGCAATTAACGCTCGGTACTGCTGGTTATAAAGTCTTGTCCTGTTAAAGCACTGAGAACTTCCTTCCTATTTTAAAATGAGACATGCTCTTATCTTGAACTTTCACTAACTATTAATGACATTCCGCTGTTTATTTTCTGACACCCACACTCCACATACAGATCAACTGGTCTTGACTGAAAAAAATACACAGTAAATTGCTCTTCCTCTATCAATTCACAATCTAAGTTTAAAAAGTCTTCTTCATTAATGGTACTTGATGCATTCAAATTTTAATCTCAGAAAGAAAAAGCAGAAGAAGCTACTGAGAAACGTAGCTCATCTCATCCACTGTGACCAGTTCCCACTGCAGCTTCGGGTGGACCCAGGACACTTCCCAGACGGTCATCAGGTGAAGTTGTAAGCTAAAGCCTTCTGGAAATTTCTGCGTATTGATTTTTTTATTCAAAAGCAAGCAAAGAATTATCAGACTTGCTCTCAATATCCTGAAACATTTGCCTTTGTAATCACAAACTATGGACAATGCAGGATGTCTTCTATCACTCCAAGCTTTAGCTCCTCTTTGGACTCCTCAGGAGCAGCCCTCAACACTTTTTCTTTTTACACCACCACCTCTTCTGTTGGTTCACAGTTTAAATTTACTCCCTGCTCTCCAAACAGGTTCCTTCCCCTCAGGACCCCCCTAAGTATTGTCAAGGGAAGAGTTCCCGTTCAGTGAAGATGGAATAAAATGCATATACATTCTCAAACCCTGGCAGGTTTGATTTCCAGCCCTCATATGGCATTAAACCCCTCGGCTCAAAGCCAGTCTGGCCCCATCGTTTCTTGGATATGGGCCATATTTAAGTTTCATATTAAAACAGGAGCAAATCAGAGAAATATCCCTGCATACATGGGACGTGCATGTTACTCCAGCCTCAGGATCTCACACCAGGCATGCCCCAGCTCAGCTTGACTAAGTCTTTGTTCATTTCCTGCGACAACGCAATTCCTAGGATGAGACGACTCGCCATGTAATTTGTGACTGTGGCTTTGACCGTTTGTTCAAACTCAGACAGACGAAATATCTTCCCACATCGAAAAATTCCCTGAGCATCTGTATCAACGCAAGCGCTGCTCGGCAGAGGCTGAAACAATGGGAGTCACCATGTGCTGCTCCTCACGGCTAAGCCACAGCTCGCTGCTCCACGCAGCCTCCTTTTGGGGAGAGAATACAGAAAGAACAGTTTGCTCAGGAAACGTGTTGTTGCACGCAGCCAAAGAAGCCAAACCACAGACTGTACGATGAACTACAAGCACATCTTTCTGACCCTAGCTATCAGCAGAACCAAGGACTGATAAATGCAGGGATGATTCTCATCGAAGTGCTTTTAATTTTTTAATCTGACACAGCAAAGAATCAGACCTGGCTCAATCACAAGTGGTTCTGCAGATCCGTGTGTTTCTTGCCAGTCCTCCCATCTCGAGTCCAGTTTACCGCACCTGCTCCCAGGTTAGGGGCAGCAACCTGACCCCTTCAGCTCCTTAGACACAGAACTCTCATCTCAACGCCTCCCTACTTCTGTGGCCCCACCAGCACCCACCCCCACCAGCTGATGTTGCCTTCCTGTGCAAGGTTTCTCTAACAGAAGACTTGTAGATTTTACCTGCAAATGAATATTTTTGATAATAAGAGACAAAGGAAAATATTTTTAGCAAGACCTGACACCTTCCTTCCCCCCGATGAGGGCTCCTCATCACCCTCAGCTATTTAAAGGAAATGTGGTCGCAACATTTCTGCCACCAGAGTCCCGTATCTACGCCTGCAGAGACCACCTCCCCTGCGGCGATTGCTGGCGGCCTCAGCCAGCTTAAGGCCACCCCAGCTCTGTCCAGAGGGAAATATCAGGTTCTGAATACAACCGATACACGTACTGAACCGGTCATTTAAAAACCCAGCAACTGAACTCCTCTGACAGATCCCAACCTTATCTGCTCCGTGTAATCTGAATCCGCTCGGTTAAACAGGAGGATGTGCATGAATCAGGACAGCGAGGCTCTCCGTTACCTTCCCCTGGAGCAGCGCTGGAAACATGTACAACGGTGTGCGACCTGGTTTCTCTCAGTGCACAGGGCACCTAACTCCAACAAACTAGTGCTGACAAGGGAATCAAAGTGCAATTTAAACAAACATATACATAGAAAAATGAGATAACGCTTCCTTAGAAGAAATCTTTTAGTTAGGACTGCTCCAGTGTTGGCAGCTACCAAGTCATTTTACCATCCCTTAACTGGTTTTGCACACGGGATGTGCACCCTGATCTGGGCGAGTCACCAGCAAACTGGGTGCAAAGGTTTTGTCAGAGCTGGTACAGGTATCCATGCAATACAGAAAACTGTGTGCACAAAGACAGTGCTAAGAAAAGACCCTGATTTGATAAAAAGTGAGCACTACTGTAGTTACCAAATGTTGCCATGAGAAATTTCTTCATTTAAAAAGAAATTTTAAAAGCATAGCTTGGAGCAGGAGGAGCACAGGTCTGGAATGTTTTATCTTCAGTCTCCAGTGTTTATAATTTATTTGTGTTACCTTGCTTTGTGATCAGCTCTGCAGGCCCAGCAGAAGCACAGACAGCAGCGTTACACAGACAGTGCTCCCTTTGTAGAGACCCAAACTGGAGACGATTACAAAAAATGTATTTGTTTTTTGTCTGCAGTTTGTGAACTTCCCTTAGAGGAGATGAGAGAAACCATTTAAAGTTTTAAGAAACAGTCATCCTGTATAACTACACTGACAAAAATCATCATTTGTGAAGAAGCCAGCAAGATAACAGACCTAAAAAGACTGATTTCTTGAATACATGGTTCACTAAATCTCATGCTGAATTAGAGCTAGTTTTGCGTAAGCGTTCTTCAAGGTCCTGTCTTTCCAGCAACACTTGCTACAGGGGAAGCGATGAACCACAGCTTACCCAGGAGAACCAAACACAAAAACCAGCACACTGCTCTTTCACGTGGTGCTGCAGATGACCATCACAAGAGCTCAGAAAAACAAGCTGGTTTTTAAATTTTCCAGACAGGTTTAGCTTGTCAGTTAAGACCTGCATTACAGAACTCAGATTTTGAGGGAGAGTTCCTATCAAAGTTTTGCAGGACAGCTTGCTATCTAGCTTTAACAGAGAACTCAAGCAGCTGCCACAGTTCCTTAAAATCCTTGGAATTAAACTCCTCCAATTTAAAGTGATGCCAATTTCTGCCCATGGATATCCATCCACCTTCTTTGTGGAAACTGGGACAAACTGATCCATCATCCACAGGCACACAGACACTCAGTGAGTCAGACTGAGATCAAGGCACAAGTGTCCCAGGGGTTTGGGCCACATGGTGATTTTGGGGTATGTAGGTGACTTGTTCCATAAACATTCTTGCAAATTTTAGGTAACTACTCACTGCTTGGAAAGCCCAAGTACTCATATTTCTGCTAGAGGATACAAGATGTGGACACACTGAGTTCTCATTACTGCA